CCACCCCCATCCAGAAAAGAAACAGATGTTCGAAGAGGTGGAGACAGAGGGGAGTGCGTGCAGAGACCCCCTCCTTCCGAGTTGGGGAGCTGGGGGAGGGGCGGGCCAGACTCTAGCCGCCCCCCCCCCACACCCCTCCTCTGCTGGCTTTGCTTTTCCAGGCTGGTGGCCCATAGTAGGTACTTAACAGAGGGCAGGAGATGATTTGAATGAATGGGCTTTGGTTTGGGCCCCCAGGAGGGCCAGAGAGGCCCCTTCCCCACCCTGCTGGTCGTGGCTTCATCCTGGGGGTGGCGGTGGGGTTGTGGGTAGGCAGGAACCAAGCATTCTCCTTTCCGAGCTGTTTGAGCACTTCTGGGTCAGCGTGCCCTTGGGACTTCCCTGGCCGTCTAGTGGTAAGTCTGCGGTGTGAGTTTAGTCCCTGGTCAGAGAACTAAGATCCAGCAAGCTGCACAATGTGGCAAAAAAGAAATTTAATTAAAAATGTGAGTCAGTCTCCCCTATCCCGTGCCCCTGTGATCCTTCCCAGAGGGGCTTCAGGCGCCATGTCACACAGACCCCTTTCACTTTCTCCCTAATGATAGCTTTACACTGTTCTCGCATATGTTAGCTCAGTTCATCCTGTGAACATCAGGATCCACCCATTGTACTGACTGGGATACTGAGGCCGCGCGAGGGTAAGTGGTAGGTCCACACTTACCCAGCTGGGAAGGGACAGAATCAGGTGGTGCCTCTGTCTCCCCACCCCCGCCCCCAGCCTGGAGACTCACTCACTCCAGACCCACAGTGATTTGGGGATGCCTGTCCAAGGCCGAGGCCTGGGGCTGGCTAAAGTTCTAGAACATCTAGCAGTCACTCCAGCGGTGAATAGGTGCCCTCCAAGAGAGCTGATCTGTAGGGAAATCCGTGGGGTGCCCCTCTCTTGATCCCCACACTCACAGACCCTCACTGCGCCCGGGCCCCAGGGACACCCCCGCCCCCCGCAGCCTCCTGTATCCTCCACCTCTTGCTCAGACCTCCTGCCCCGGGGCCGGCCTCACTGAGGCCCCGGGCCTCAGGTGCCCACCCCTCGGCCCCTTGCCTGCCCTTGGCATACGGAGCCCTGGGTCTGTGCAGCCTCTTTGTTTCCTCCTGGGCTGGCAGCTGGGCTGTAGGCAAAGAAACGCTTGTATTGTGCTGCTCTGCATCACGGGGAGAACGGGTGAGGGACTTTCCATTGTCGGCCCTGCCTGCCAAGATGATGGGGGTCCTGGGAGTGCCTGCTGGGGTGGCGGGGAGCGCCGTGGGGGCTGGAGAGGGGGAAGGGGCGGAGGGGGAGAGCCAGAGCACATGAATCAGCAGATCAGTCTGGGAGCGTTTAATCTCCCCCTTGAGGACAGAGGAGTTCCCCTTCCTGTCTTGTGACCTCCAGGCAAGAGTTCGGGAGTTCAGAGCATGTGTAGGTTTCAGAAAATCAGGCCAATCTGTGTTCAGGTCCAGCTCATCCTTTCCTTGGGCAAAGCCCTCCCTCTCTCATCAGCACTCAGGTAGTGGCATCGTTGTAGCTGAAGCCCAGAGGTGTGAAATTCAAAGATGAGAATGCAACTCAGCGTTTCCTCCTGTCTAGCAGAGAGCCTGCCCCTGAGTTGGTATCATTTTAGTTCTATGCTTTGTACCAGTTCCTCTTGAAGGCTTGGGTGCCGTAAAGGACTTTGAGTTCCCTAAAACAGGTGCACACTACCTTTCCCATACATAGCTCAGAACCTTTGGGCGACGGCAATGCTCCATTTTCTTTTTTCCCTAAGATTTATGTGTTTAGTTTTTGGCTGTGGTGGGTAGCTGCCGCACACGGGCTTCTCACTGCGGTGGCTTCTGTTGTTGGGGAGCAGGGGCTCTTGGCGTGCTCAGGCTTCGATCGTTGTGGCTCACGGGCTTAGTTGCTCCGGGGCATGTGGAATCTTCCCAGACCAGGGATCAAACCGGTATCCCTTACATTATAAGGTGGGTTCTTAATCACCAAACCACCAGGGAAGCCCTCCATTTTATTTGCCTGTAGAGCAAGATGCAGATGATTATCCTGGACTTGTTTATACTGGGCTCACTGGACCACAGGGTTTTCCCAACGTGTATTTCACTCCAGCTGTTAAAATGAATTTACTGACTCTAAGCAGGTATTCACTGGGTGGAGATGAGGCAACTCGAGCTTGGCCTTCTGGAATGATATTTGTTGAGCATGTACTGTTCACTAAAACCAGTGCATCCCTTCCAGAGAGTTCTAAAGGCCTTTCCATCTGTTGTCTTTTAGTTCTCAAAACATCCCTGGGAGCTGGGGGCGGGGAAGAGATGCATGATATTTTTAGCTCCACAATTCAGAGTCAAATGTTACTTTACAAACCAGATGGACTCTTGTCTTGCACTGATTTTCCCAAAAGCCAACTAGAGCATGGGCCACAGACCCCAGAATATCAACTGTATTAAGGATAATTTAATTTTTTTTATTTCTCCCCCAAAGCTTCAGGGTCATCACCATGTGAAAATTCAGAACTTCTGTTGATAATCTTTCTTGTGCTTCTTTTATAACTGAGTGTGGCTTTTATTTTGGATCATACGTGGGTGAGCATCAGCATTTTGTTCAGTGCCAGGAGCCTCTGAAGGCCTTCCAGTCTGGTCCTGGCTTTGTCCCCAGTCACACAGTAAGTCAGAGGCTGGACCGGGACTGGAACTCAGTGTATCATGCGTGAACCTCTACTTTATTTACTTTTTTAGAGATTTATTTATTATCTATTTGGTTGCATCGGGTCTCAGTTGCAGCACACGGGATCTTTTGTTGCAGCGCACGGGCTCCCCAGTTGGGGTGTGCCAATGCAGTAGTTGTGGTGCTCAGGCTCCAGAGTGCTCAGGTTTAGTTTCTCCGTGGCCTGGAGAATCTTTATCTGCCAACAAGGGATCAAACCTGCATACCCTACATTGCAAGGTGGATTCTTAACCTTTGGACCACCAGGAAGGTCCCTGAATCTCTATTTTTTTTTTTTCCATTTATTTTTATTAGTTGGAGGCTAATTACTTTACATCATTGCAGTGGGTTTTGTCATACATTGAAATGAATTAGCCATGGATTTACATGTATTCCCCATCCCAGTCCCCCCTCCCACCTCCCTGTCCGTGAATCTCTATTTTTAAATGTAGGTTGGTTATTCTTCAGGTTTGATGAGGCCAGCAGATCAGGAGATGACTGCTAGTGGAAAGATAGCTTGTTATTCGCAGATGCCCAGAAGAGGGGACACGCCAGGCCATGTGGAGCCACATGAGGAGGCACCACGCTTGGTGAGGAGGCAGATGGAACAGAAGGAAAACAGGCCCTTTATTCAGGTTCCCACAGGTAGGGCAAGCAGGCTGAGCATAGTTTGAATAAACTCAGGGGACCCTGGAGGGTAGGGGCTGCCTCTAGTTGATGGTACCTGACCCTGGGGTGATTGGAGGCAGGGAATAGTGTGTCCAAGTCAGCGTGTAAGCGCCCATCAGAGGAGGTGATGCAGGCAGGGGCTCTGGGTATAAAAAGCTGCTTGCTCTCTAAGGCCTGTCTAGTCTTGGGAGGGGCAGTCCCTCCAGGGTCAGCAAAGATTGCAAAGCATCAGAAATACAGAAAGAAAAGAACCATGATGCATGCAACCTCGGAAAACATCATACTAAATGAAAGAAGCTCAGACACAAAAGCCGCACGCATATGGTGTGATTCCATTTTTATGCAATATCCAGAATGGGTCAATCCCTGGAGAAGAGAGAGAGAGTGGATGGGTGGTTGCCAGGGGTGGGGTTGGGGGGAGGAGATTGGGAAGGAGGAAGTGGGGAGCGACTGCTCAGTGGGTACAGGGTTTTACTCTGGGGTGATGACGGAAATGTTTTGAAACAAAAAGAAGTGATGGTTGCCCGACACTGTGTATGTACCAAATGCCGATGAATCGGGCCCTCGACAGTGGTGTGTGAATTTCACTTTGATTTTTTTTTTCTTTTTTACTGATTCATGGAGCGCTTTTTCTTTTTTAATCTATTTTTTAAAATTTATTTTTCAATTGGAGTATAATTGCTTTACAGTGTTGTGGTGGTTGCTGCTATACAACATGAATCAACTATAATTATCAATATATACATATATATTTATATATAATATAATATATATATTATTCCCTCCCTCTTGAGCCTCCCTCCCACCCCGCATCCCACCCCTCACTTTGATTTTTTCCAAAGCTTAGAACTTGGGTCTTCTGGGTCCCGTCGGCATCCGCAGGCTCTGTGCCAGCTCTAGGGGAGACACTTCCTACCCATCACGTGTTCTGAATGCCTTTCACCTGTGTGGCAGACACGGAGCTGAGATGCCCACGGTGCAGGGCGCGGAGGAGGCTGAGAGGAGGTTCGGCCCAGAGTGCTCGGCGCCTCCCAGCCGCGACCGTGCCGACCAGTCCCCAGGGTTGCTGACACCCCCATCGGTTCTCTGCCCTCCCAGGGAAGCGACAGCGAGTACGAGGTTGACGCGAGCCACCAGAAGACCCACTCTTTCGTCAACCACTACATCAGCAACCCCACCTATTACAACTCCTGGCGCCGCCAGCAGAAGGGCATCTCTCGGGCCCAGGCCTACAGCTACACGGAGAGCGACCCGGGCGAGCCGGACCACGCCACTCTCTCCAACAGCAGCAGCGCCCAGCAGGGCAGCCTCTTCCGGCCCAAGGCCAGTCGGACCCCAACGCCCCAGAACCCTCCGAACCCCCCGAGCCAGCAGAGCACGCTCTACCGTCCCCCCAGCAGCCTCGCCCCTGGCTCCCGGGCCCCCATCGCAGGGTTCTCCTCGTTCGTCTGATGCCGTCGGCGGAAGAGGAAAAAGAAAACATAGCGCCCAGCTCCTCTCCACCCTTCCCCGCACCGCCTGCCAGAAAACAAAAACACCAAGAAACCAAGTCAACTTTTCACCTCCTGAGTTTATTTTTCCAGAGATTCCAGGGCCAGCAAAGCCGGTGTGGAGAAGCATGGAGAAAAACCGCGAGGGGACGTGTGTGGCTTTGAGATTGTGGGGTTTGCTGCTGCTTCAAGGGGCTGGGCGAGGGGGGGCAGCTGCGGTGGACACCAGTGGGTTTAGGCCGATGGAGACAGACGGAGGGAAGGAGGGAGGGAAGGCAAGGACTGGAGGGCTGTCAGGTGGGCGTGGCCGGGGCCAGGAAGCTTCTGGAAGTCCAGCCCGCTGCTCCCTTCCGCATGCGCTGCAGCGCTGGGCCCAGTGCTGGCTGGTGCTGGCGCCAGGACGGGCATCCTGGGGGACAGGTGCCCCTCCCCCCGCCCCATGCAGCCTGGCTCCTCACCCCCTACTGCCCCCCACCCCGACTCAGTGTCCCCACCAAGCATCTGGTTTATTTAGGAAAACGAAACCAGCTCCAGGGTGAGACTTGGCCTACCCAGCTCCTTGCTCCTCACTGACCTTTCTGTTGTGAACGCAGGAAGAGGAAGGCCCCTGGGGGTAGGGGAATACTCCCCACTCCCACCCACTGAACCCAACCGTTCCTTTACTTGAATTCACTTTGCCCCCCCACCCCGAGCACAGACTCGGGAGCAGAGCCGGGGCGCCGGCCCAGCATCCCTGGAATAACGGAGCCTGGGGAGGCCGTCGGGACGGGAAGAAGGACGCTTGACTTTCTTCTTTCTTCCAATTCAGGTACCACCTGCCTCCCCCCCGCCCCTCTTAAAGGAAGACGGGAAAGGGGGCTACAGAGACAAGAGAAGGGGCTGCAGGCTAGGCTGGGGTAAGGCATGACACCTTTACACACACACACCACCACCACCACCCCCTACACAGGCACACCATGCACCCGCAAGGAAAACGGTCCAGGGATCCTCTCCAGGAGAAATCCTTTGGGTCCTCCTAGCCAGCAGGACCCTCACTTTCAGATCTGTGTCCCTCGTTCCCAGCCCACCGCTCTTCGTTTCTGAGACCCCCGCGGCCTCAGCGCAGGCGCACAGCAGCCCAGGGGCCGGGCCAAGTCCCTGTTGCAGAGGCTGGAGCGCCCAGCACCTGGTTTACAAAGGCAGAGGCCACCCCAACCCTCAGAAACGTCTTCCAGACTCGGCTCAGCCTGCCAAGGCCCAGAGCGAGGAGGGGCCTCCTCCAAACTGGACACGGGCTCCCGGGGTGTACAGCCAGGCCGCCGGGAGGAGCGGGTCAGATGGGACCACGGGACAATTATAGCTGATGGGAGGCAGAGCTTTCACACACACACGAGTTGCCCGGAGGAATGTTCTTTAAAAAGCTTCTGGTGCCCTGGGTCTTCCCATCAGTTAAGAGCTTCCGGATGCAGGGGTTTAAGGAGGAGCCTTTCCAGCAAATTCCCTGGGTGCCCACCCCACCCCACCCCGAGCCCTGCAAAGGGGCCCATTCCCCAGGCTGCTGTGGGACCCCTCCGTGGGAGCTCCAGTCCCAGGCGTACTGCTACCCAGGAGGAGACCACGCCCCATTAAGGGCAACGTGGAGAACGAGGGATAATCTGAGAAACAAGCCAAGGATATTGCAGGGCTGTCCCCCTCCCCAGCGGCCCTAACACGGGTGCCTGGAATGGAAGCAGGGAAGCAGGGAAGCAATGCCCGTGGAAAGGGCATGCCACCCAGCTGGGGGCCCCTCCCCAGGCACTGGGACCCCCAGGAAACATGATGGGGAAAAGTGGGGAGATGGCTCCACATACGGACTGACCCACTCTGGGGTCCAGACAGCACCTTCCCGGCTCAGGGGGTCTAGAAAGGGAAGCAGGGTCTTTCCCCCCAGGGGGCACACAGGCCTGAGCCGCATCTGGCAGTTGCTCTTCCCTCCCTTTCTCTTTAAAACCACCTCATCCTTTTCTCTGCTGTGTGTTGAACCGTAGAAAGTCCTTCCTGGTTTACATGAAGAACTACATTTTGCCCAGCCCAGGGAGGGATTGCGGGGAGGGAGCCGGGACTGGGAGACACGCTGTGTGTACATGAATATAGAGGAGGCCAAATCCCTTTTGCCTTCGGCGGGTCACCTTGTGCATTAGGACGCTCGCCCTCCCCGGCCCACGAGCTCCTCCACACCCGCGCTGACGCTCGCGTGCACCTGTGGGGCGGCGCCCACGCTCACCTGGTTTCTCGCTCATCTGGGCTCACGCATGCGCGCGCGGATATACACGCAATGCTCGGCGTACCTGCGTCAGCAACCCCCTCGGAGGGGCTGACTGCCTCCAGTGAGACAGGGGCAGCTTGCGTCTCTCCCACGTGGGGCGAGGCTGGGCTCTGTTGTCTGAAAGGGCAGGGCGAGGACCCTGCCAACCAGGGCTCTCAGAGGAGCCGGAAGGCGGGCGGCCCCCCGGTGAAAGCCCCACCCTCCGTCCATCCCCACCCACCTGGAACGAAGCCTCCGCCGCCCCAGCCACACCTGGAAGCCCCGCTTCCAGCCGTGGACCTCTAGATTCCCAAGAGGAGGACTCCTCGTCCTTGTTTACATATCTGCTGGGGCAGTGGCGGCTCCTGTCCAGACACCTGGCCGCGCGGGAAAGGTGTGTGTGGGCACTGCCCATGGGTCACGGGGAGCCTCCCTGCCCTTTGGCTTCTCGGGTCGGTGATGTCAGACCCTGTGTTCCCCTGAATCCCCCTGGAGCGGGTTCAGCTGGGGACAGCACCTGGCTCCTCACCTGGCCTTGCCCTCCGGAAACCTGGTGTTGCCCCGGGCAGCTCACACCTGGCGCACTAGCGAGGCCTTTGCCCTCCTGGCCGCGCCTCCTGCGTTCACATCCTTTCCGCACCCAGACTGCCAAGACGACCAACCAAAACGCTGCCCCGGGCTCCAGAAGCGCCCTCCTCCCGGGGCTCTGGGGAGTCCGCGTCGCCGCCAGGCCGCCTCTCCTCCAGTCTCCGGACTTAGAAGGAAGAAGAGGCCTCCGGCTGCTCGCTGGCCCGAGGCCTTCTGTCTGCCCGCACCTCCCTGGGCAGAGCTTTCAAAGGTGCCAGAGCCCCTTCCCGCCCCATGCCCCACTCTGGGCGGGGGCTTCCCTCACCTGGTGCCCAGCGGAAGGTGCCCACACTTGGTGAGGGGCTGGAGGGCACCAGCGGGGAGGGGGGCCACCTGAACACCCGCCTCTGGCTCCCGAGTGCCTCTGTGGGGACCTACCCAGCGGCGACCCGACCACCGCCCCAGCACAGGTGCCCTCTTGGGACACCCCAGCCCCCTTCTTTTTGTTTCTGTAAAAATAACCAAAAGCATTTAAATGTGTTACCTTCTTTTACACATACAGACTCCAAAAACAAAAACCAACACAAATCTTTATTTTTTTGATTTAAAAGATATAAGAAAAATTATGGGGAGAGTATTCATTATGGCAGGTGTCTATCTGTAAGAAAAAAATATATATATCTATATGTCATATAGCTTGTTAGCAGGTTTATTTTTTGAATGAAAGGTAACAAAGAAATTGATTTGAAATATATACCACAAAAGGTCCCATGTCCTGTCAAACTTGTCAGTATTTTATAAATAAACTTTTTTTTTTTTTTTTTTTGGAATTGTGAAGCAACATTCATTCTTCTCTTCCCTGGAGGGCAACCCCACTCCCATATCACTCTCAAGTAATCTGATCCTGAAACACCCATTTTTAGCCTTGCTGTGGTTTTAGAAAGTCAAGGGTTCAAATTTTTCTGCTTTCTTAATTCATGTGTGAGTGGACGTCTGTGCCTTCAAGTGAAATGCACTGTTTTGTTTATTTTACACTTCTAAAAAAATGTTTGTTTGGCTGCCCTCAGGATCTTCCATCTTTATTGTGGCGTTTGGGATCGCTTACTTATGTGGGATCTAGCTCCCTTACTGGGGATTGAATCAGGGCCCTTTGCATTGGGAGTGTGGGATCTTAGCCACTGGATCACCAGCAACCATCCCTATTTTACACTTTCAAGATTAGAGCCTCTTAGATTATGCCCAGTTAGAGGCAAAATGAAAATGATAAACAATAATAGTAATAGCAATTGCTAATGGTCCTATTCACCGAAAGGACTGATGCTGAAGCTGAAGCTCCAATACTTTGGCCATGTGATGTGAAGAGCTGACTCATTGGAAAAGCCCCTGATGCTGGGAAAGATTGAAGGCAGGAGGAGAAGGGGACGACAGAGGATGAGATGGTTGGATGGCATCACTGACTCGATGGATATGAATTTGAGCAAGCTCCGGGAGTTGGTGATGGACAGGGAGGCCTGGCGTGCTGTCATCCATGGGGTCGCAAAGAGTCAGATATGACTGAACAATGCTCCTATGGCATTTACCCTGTGCCAGATGCTGTTGTAATCATTATATTGATTAACTTCCTGGAATCCTTGTGCTTACCCCCTGGGAGGGAAACTGGATCAGGGAGAATTTAAGTGGCTTGCCCCTGAGTATTGGAAAAACCAGGATTTGTTCTAGAGCAGGCTGGTTCTAGAGATAAACGCTGTCTCTCTGATACGTGAAGGCAAATTTCTTGCTCATTTCCACCTTACTTTTGACAAAGCCAGCACCTCATACCCTAGTGATCCTGAGGTAGGAAGAACCACTTTGGCATGTGGTGACTCTAGCCTAGTTAATCCACCCAGATTTAGAGTTAGGGCTTGACTTGCTGAATTTCTGAGTACACAGGTCTTAGACTAGACCACATTTCTCTCCCACAAGTTAAATGGATTCAAATAAGAGAGAGTGAAAAAAACAAGAGAGTGATGGGAAAATAATTTTAATACTACATATAACGCAGGACTTCCCTGGCAGTCCAGTGGTTAAGATTCTGTGTTCCACAGCAAGGGGCACGGGTCCAGCGTGCTGTGGTGTGGCCAAAACTGAAAACCATCATAATAAAATAGTACATGTGATGCCACTCAATTTTACATAGTACACTTCTTTTGTATAGTCTACATTGTATAGTGAGTGTCTTGTTTTGTTTGTTAAGTCATCCGACTTTTTCGGTCCCATGGACTGCAACTCGCCAGGCTCCTCTGTCCATGAGATTTCCCAGGCAAGAATCCTGGACTGGATTGCCATTTCCTTCTCCAGGGGATCTTCCCAACCCAGTTATCAAACTCACATCTCCTGCATTGGCAGGTGGGTTCTATACCATGGAGCCACCTGGGGTGCCCTGTGCAATTCATGTCAGGTATTTATACATACAAAGGCAACTCAATAATCCAGACATAATTAAAGCAGGGAATTTAACATGTAGGTAGGTATGTACCTTCTTCACTTTATTTTTACTTAAAACTTGAAAATGTAGATTAATCCACCAATCTGTTCATATTGGATGTAGCACTTTTCCTTTTTTTTCCTGTGTGTAGAGTTTTGGTCTTTCTTACACATCTAAGATGTATCATCAGTGAATTCGTTTCTATCTCAGTAAAGCAAAAATGGACAGGAACTTGGAACTGAAGATTTCCAGTTTCTGGCTTGTGAGGAGCTTGGAAAGTGGGAGCCCATTCAAACAACGAGTGGAAAACTAAGCAAATGGAAAAATCAACACTTCTTAGATTCATAAGAGAAGTGAGCGAAGTCTCAGGACCAACTGCTGTCCCCAAAATTGGAGGGACGGGTAAATACAGAGAATCTCCACTTCCCAGAGTAGAAATGATGAATTGGTGTAAGAGCCAAATCCTAGATTTTATTTTATTTGATTGTTTTTGGCTATGCCCCGAAGCCAGTGGGATCTTAGTCCCCTGGCCAGGAATCAAACCTGTGCCCCTGAAGTGGAATATGTATTCTTAACCACTGGACCTCCAGGGAAGTCCCTAGATGTTATTATTCTTCCCCTAATGCTCTACAGTTCTTGACTAACTCCGCACTCTTTCATTTTGGAAACTTTGTGTTATCAAAGTACTCCTTTTCCAAAGCATTTTATGTACTCTTCTCCTTTTTCATGCTTGTCCTACTCACTTACATCATATTTCATTAAATTATGTAATTACTATAAAAAGCACAACTGGGATAAACAAGTTTGGGAGCAGTGCTAAGCGACTCTTTGTAAACATCCAACTCAGTTTGGTAGGAGCGGGAGTGTGTGGGTATCGCAGAAAGCAGGCCATTAGCCTTTGGCATTCGGAGGTTGATGAGTTTCTTCATGTTTTGCAGAAAGAATCGATTAATACGGCTAATTTGTTAAGTGGAGGTCAGAGAAGGGAGCTTCTGTGTGTATGACAGGACAAACCCTGCACACCGTATGACTAGTTTTCAAGGTGATTAAGGGATTTTCAAGGGCGATTTTGACGGCCTAAAACCTTCACACTGTACACAATAGGGAACCCAACAACCACGTTAGCGTCGAGTCCGTGCCAACTGATTTGAGGATGTTTGGTTAAAGGATAGTAAGGGGAAGGCATTCCAGAAGAATGAATCAAAGAGTGGGTTTGGCTCTAGAGTGGTCACTTGGAAACTGAGACTTGAAGTGTCTGTGTTGTTTTTTTTTTAACTGTTGTGTTAGCTCCAAGTGAGCAGCAAAGTGATTTAGTTATACATATATGCCTTTTTTTTTTTCAGAGTCTTTTTCGCCATAGGTATTACAAAATATTGAGTAGAGTTCCCTGTGCTATACAGTAGGTCCTTGTTGGTTATCTATTTCATATATAGTAGTAAGTATCTGGGCTTCCCAGGTGGTCTTTGTTAGGTAAAGAACCTGCCTGCCAATGCAGGATGTGGGTTTGATGCCTGGGTTGGGAAGATCCTCTGGAGAAGGAAATGGCAGCCCAGTGTTCATGAATACTGCAGTATTCTTGCCCAGAGAATCCCCTGGACAGTGGAGCCTGGTGGACCGTGGTCGCTGGGGTCGCAAAGAGCCTGAGACGGCTGAAGGGAGTGGGTGGCGGCAGCAGCAGTCTCTGCTAATCACAAACGCCTAATTTATCCCGCCGCCGTCCGAGGGAAAGAATCTGCCTGCAACACAGAGACTCGGGTTCAAACCCTGGGTCAGGAAGATCCCCTGGAGAAAGGAATGGCAACCCACTCCAGTATTCCTGCCTGGGAAATCCCATGGACAGAGGAGCCTGGCAGGCTACAGTCCAGGGGGTCACCAAGAGTCAGGCCAGACGGAGCACGCACGCGCACATCTGCTCCCTTGAGATTCCCCCTTAGTTTCTCAGGGAATACAGGTGATCTACCACCAACCACACTGACAAGAAGAGCCAAGGAAACACCGAGACCCGAAGAAAGGGCTTGGAACACCAAAAAGCGTGTCTTCTGGGTGGTGGAAGCTTGTTTGTTCTAGACCCAAGAGAAGCTTCGTGGTGTTCTGGAATTCAGTCTCAGCGTTTCTAACCCTCACCCGGCCCCTCCCCATCTGTGGCCAGTGGGCGTGGCCCGTGACTGTTTCCAGCAACAATACCAGTCAAATACACTAGAGAGAAAGGGAAAAAAGACAATTCCTTCACCGAAACAATGAGGAAGGTGAATCTGCTGAGAAGGAAGGCGGGAGGGGAAAGGAAGGTGCTTTCCAAAGCCAATGAGACGCAGGGTGATACAGTGTACTGGCCTGGATTATAGGTAATGTTCTTTCTCTCCACTGAGCAAAAGTAACCTCACCGGGAAAACATCAAAGGGGCCTCTCAGATTTCTTTTCTAAGGACTCTCAGCATTACCAGTCAGGAAAAGGACTCTTGATTGGCAAGGCTAACCAAAAAGTGCGTGGGGTTGGCAGACCTGGGTTCCCAGAAATTCCAACTTGAGCTTGAATTCAGCTTCCACCAGCCTCCCCTACCTCGTCTGTGGAACGGATGCAACTTCTGACCTTGCAACATCAGACTCACAGAACAAAGCACAGAGAAATAAACTTTCAGATCGAGGCGACATCCTGACCACCTCCTTCCCAGTTTCTCTGTCCGGCACACCTAAGGGCAGGTCCAGAACTATCGGAGATGCTGTTTTTCAGTTTCCCCATCTTGATGGCAAAGCACTTTGGTTCTGAGGCTTGGTTGGAGTCTGCAGGTTGAGAGTTCGACTGCTGTTTTCCTTCTGACATCCGAGCTTCTGGCAGGAAAGAATCACTTAAAGCAACTCACTCTGGAGGTTATGGGTTATGGAGGAGGTCTTGTTAGGGTGCAGTATAAGAGGGTAAGGGAAGATGGGCCTGGGTCAGCTCCAGCTCCGTCAGTCCGTGGGCTCCATCAGACTGAAGAAGGGCTGCTGACTGCCTGCCCCAAGCCTTCCAGCACACAGGGCACCCACCCACCCACCCACCAGTTTGGCCCCAAAAGGCCAGGAAATCCAGGAGGCCTCACCACTTCCCCCTGGGCTGTCTAAAGCCAGTTGCTCAGAAGCTCATCTGTACCCTGGGAAGGAAA